CAGCAGCAGCCGAGCGTGCCGCAATCCCGGGACGTAGGGTACTATCAGCCGGGTCCTTCTCCAGCCTCCGCGCCGCATCGTCCCGTCGCTCCACTCCAAGCCCCGTCTCACGCGCCCGCGCCCTACGTCCATCACAGGTACACTCCGGTGCCGCCATATCCACCACCCGGGATGTCGTATTATTGGCCAGGACCCCCTACGCAGCAAGCACCCCCACTGCAGCAGTCGTACCAACCTCCACACTTCCCGAGTATGAGTGGCGCGGGCGAAAGCGGCGTGGACTGGCCGCGAGAATCCGGCGGAGAAGCTGGTGGAGCCGGAGTTGCTTCTTATGGCTTCACCCACGGAAGGGTGAAGTATAAGTACACGGGGGTTAGCGGCAGTGGCGATGCATGGTATGCAAAGCTTTTGATGCCCGCCCCTCACAATCCTATCCGCATGGGGCCATTCCCGAGCGAGGAAGAGGCAGCAAAGGGATACAAGGCTGCGGCTCTGGTAATTAGGCCGCCTGGGTTTCGCATCCAGCGCAGTGTTGATCTCTCCCAGTCTGAGCGGCAGTTGCTAAACGGGTGCACCAGCAAGCATGTGGTCACCCTAGCAGCGACCAACCTTTGGCACAGGTGGCGCGAATGGCGGCAGTTCATGCCAGAGACTCCACCGGCTCATCTGCTACAGGTCCCTCCTGCAGGTTCGATGCCACCTCCACGATAGCAGGCAGTGCCCAGCAGCAGCCAGGCGACTCAACCTCCGGGCATGAGCCTATCTGGTGTCCAGGGTAGTCGGCGGCATTACACCGACGAGCAGCAGCACTATAATTGAGGTACCATCTTCGCACATCGTCTATGGAATCTTTATCTTCACTTATGTCCATGGTTGATATGTATGTATATGGTACAGGTCACACGCGGATACTCAGAAGCTCACACCTCCACTGTGTAACATGCTTGTTTTGCACGTGTCTCCATGCATGCAAATCTGTGTTTCAATAGACTGTTATGCTTGCGTAGTTAGAAATAATGAAGTGTCTTTGAACCCTTGGGTTTTGATTTAGCGGATGTTCGGATGCAAGGCAGCTACTACAATACATTTGAATGTGCACTAGTATGGCACGTTTCATAGCGTGGTGTATTCTTACTAACCTATACGGTTGGTTATTAAACATCGCGAAACAACGTACGAGCCACACCGTCCATAAAACACGACGCAACAGCGGTTCGGTACCCGTTCAGGCATCGTGTTCAGAATGTACAACTCGCAGCGCAAACATTAGCCAATCAGTGCTAGACATTTCTCACGGTATTAGCAAAAACGAAAACGCAGGTTGAACCGACGACTCCCATTGGTCGATGGTCAAAGTACGTGGATCTCTCGACAATAAATAACTCAAAACCAGTATGGGAAGAGTAATTGCGAAGTGTGCACAACCACTGTACTAACCGAGATAATTATTCCGATCATGATTTTTGCACCGAACCACGATCATGTTTATAACGCTATAACAAAAAACAGAACCAGATTGAACACAAGCCCGTCACATCGAGTCCGGGACCGACACGTCAGCTGTCTCATAAAAGTGCGCGAAGACAGAAGGGATCTGGACATTTTATCTAATCACAAAACTGTGTGACATGCGACCCCACGTAAACAGTACGTGGCAAGCTTTCTCAAAAGCCATCTTCTCTACGTACAGGCAGCTAGAGCTATGGTGAAAAAGATAGAAGTTCATCACAGCGACGAGCTTAGCGATGACCAATACCATTGCCCACGAAGCAGCACTTGGCGCAACAATGAGTACAATTCCTGAATGCGATTACTCGTCCACTGAAGAGTTGAGCGACGTGCACGACGGAAGACTGGACGCCATTCACTACCACGAAGTGGCTCTCCTGCAGCGGAAAAGGAGCGCCATCTACAACTGGCATTCATTTGGTATAACGGTGTCTGGGGCCGACATTCATCGCATATCTTCATATTTGGCGGTCAACGACAACATGTATGTACACGAAATGTGTTGCGATTGTACAAACATATGACCTGTGGAAAATGACGTCTCTTGTGCCTACCGTACAGCTTGTTTGACTTACATTACCCACGGCTGCGGAACGGCCAAACATGGATCGCACTCGACTCTAAGGCTTTCGAGTACATGTCGCGGCATGGGAAACTCATTGCCTGCTGCCCTGCCAGAAGATCGTTTCTAGACTTCGACTACGTCGCTATAGTTGTTACAGGAAGGTGAGTACGGTGTGCAGGAACAAATCGTGGTTGACAGATCATTCATTCGGATTCACATTCACCGAACACTTCATTGTTGCGCAGGTTTCATTTCAGCCTTGTTGTGGTGTCCAACGCCAAAGTCCTTCTCAAAGAGAGCTGGGATTTTCCTTCTACATACCGGCCAAAGTTCTACCATTATCACTCAGAAGGAATGCACTGTGACCTGGGCACCGAATGGGACGTGATCGAGCGGTAAAGAGATGTGTCACACAAACTTGCATACACCATTAGTTTGCCTGAAGACTTATACAAATGTCAGACATTGATGTATGTACAGGTTGGTGGCCAAAGAGGTGCATCGAGTTAGACCCAGTGCTCTTGAACAAGACATTCTGGATGCCGTCAAGAAGATTGAATGGCGCACATTACAGGTAATACCACGACCAAACGGCTGAAAAGAACGCCGTCTTTTAAATTTATGTTTCCATGATCTCCGCCTGATTCTTGATGATGCAGACCTGGGAGATCCCACAGCAGCCGGTTGGCAGTGAAGAATGTGGTATATACACCTGCATGTTTCTCCGCTCCCTTGTCACCCGTGATTTTCAAAACCTGGAAGGGCCTTTGAATCTGGAGATGGTCCCTGGTGAGTATCGAGCGAGTTTACACAAGGAAATGTCTTCCCATCTAGATGGTGCACTGCTCCCGCAACTACAGGCGGACGGTGTTACCATCCCATCACAAGGGCTGTTTCGCAGGTGGACTGATGAGGGGGCTGTATCTATGGAGGTTGGAGCACCAATCTCTTCAGCGGAGCTAGAAGAGCATGCAGCGGTTCTTAGCCTCAAACGAGAAGTACAACTTCTGCGTGCGGAGATAGCCGTGTTGCGGCAGAAGACTGATCATCTTGAGGCAACCATATCTGCAAAGCTGGACGCCATCGAACACAGGTCCAAACCCTAGCAAGATATTAACGTTGACACACTATGCTTGTGTAGCTATTTTGTGATGGTCTACGTGCTTAGGGTAGTGTAAAACTGTACTCATGTGAGCGCATTGCAAACATAAAGGTTTGAAGATTGCAAGTGTCAAACTTCAAATGTAAGGATGGCTCATAATGGAAAGTCAGATGCAAAATGATGTTGCACAGTTATAGGTTGTGGTTGTATAACATTAATCTCATAACGAGGCAATCACCCAACAACAAAGACATGTGATACAACTGTCTAGTACCTGGGAAGGTGGATTGTTTTTTAGTAAAGTTGTAGATAGCACGTTGTGTCTAAAGGGTTAACGTATTTTGGTTTTTTTCACACAAAAATATTCCAGAAATCAAACCCACGTACTCATATTACTACAAAGAACAGAAACCTTTGCCAGAGCAGCATCCATCCACACACCCCTAGAGACAGTGGGATATTTTGCACCCCCATACCTTTACACGCCTTATGGTAATAAAATTAGATTCTTGGGATGACAATCGTACTTAGGTATAGCCTTATGGTAAGGTTGGGCATGTCTGACTCAAGGAGTATATACAGTGGTAAGGTTGATTTATTAAGAGTATGAGATTGGAGTGATTCAGAAAGTGGCAATGCATGTTCACGATCACACCAATAATGGTGGCAAGTATAGGCTGAATGGACGTGTATCTTTTGATTGTAGTTCTCATAATGGCTGCTGAGTGCATATGCTGATACAACGATGTCATTTGAATATCTGACACGCTTCAGAAATTACATTGTATGCTAGTGTGACAAGTATGTTGCCTTAGGTAATGGGATGTAGTACTCAACCAGTTGGGTTCCAATAAATGAATGTACAACGTTGTTTTACATCCCCTCAATCTTGTAGGTTAGAAGTAACTTTCACTCATACTTTGGAATTTTTTCGATGGTAAATTTTTGGGAAATGAAAAAACTGGTTATTCTGATTGTCATCCAAGAGAATCTAAACGGGATTCAAACTAATTCAACGATGAAAATATTTAGGACGTTCGTTGAGTAGTTGCGCTTAATGCATCAGTTATTCATAGGGGGGACAACACAACCGTACATGTTAGCGTCAACAGGAGGTTCTTTTGCATTCGAAATCGGGTAACGAAGAATGTATTCTTTTATGCCAACGTGGACCAATCGAGCACAAGATGGACAGTTGATGCTGTTTTTTATCAGGAACAAATACCCACATGCGGGATTCGGGTTCTCTCCCATTCATGTGAGGATTGGTCAACAGTTTCGGCACGGTTGAGATTCGCGGTGTTCATGTTGTCTGATTCGCCAGCTGTATTTGTTTTTTAACACGACGTAACACGTGTGACGTACGTTGTGGTGGATTCGACACCGTTTTTTTCCGATCAAAATCACATCGCATGTCGGCCACCGGATAGGCGCTCCGGTTCTACAAGAGTGAATCGACCACTGTCTGTGTTTTTTAACACGACAAACCACGGTTGCTCGAACCATGTTTTTTAACACGACGAACCACTCCGTGCAGTGTAGTCACCACGCAAGCCTGTACGCACCCGCACACCATCCTCCCCGTCCTCTACAGAGTCTTTTTCTACGACAGTGGCCTCGTCCTCTACCACGCTGTGCCTCTCTTCGGTGTTGTGCCCAATCGACGGTCCCGGATCCACGCCGGGAGGTGGAGGGTCGAAGGTTGGTGCCGCAGTCGGTGGTGGGTCGCAGGTTGGTGCCGCAGTGGGTGGTACGACTCCTGGAACCACAGCTCTCAGCACGATGTTGTCAAAGTTGAAGCGCGCGGCTGTTCCACGCCATCCACTAGGCACGACGATCGGTGAAGTCCGTCGTAGTGGATGCGGCGCACGCTGTGATGTTGATGGTGCGGTTGTTTCTGCAATAGGGGTTGCAATATGCCCACAACCAACACCGTGAGAATGTTTCGTTTGAACGATACCGCTGATCGTGGAATCATGTGAACAAGGGCTGCATGCGCAATCAATTGTCAATGAAAGTTCAGGGCTCTTCAGCTGCGATGTTTGAACTGGTTTGCAAAATAAAGCAATGCTGATTAACGTATGTACCTCGCATAACATGGCACTAAAAAACGGAAGATCGAATTGAAATACCGTTATTCAAACGAACCTGGTGCTGCAGATGGGCGGGTCGAAGTGGATGGTGACGGTGATGCGGATGGTCCTGTAGACGCGGATGGGCGGGGCGCTGCGGAAGGCCCTGGCGCTGCAGACGGGCAGTGCGCTGCGGATGATGCAGGTGCCGCGGATGGGCGGGTCGTAGAAGCGGGTGACGGCGCTGCTGAGGGGTGGGGCGTTGCGGAAGGCCCTGGCGCTGCAGAAGGGCTGGGGGCTGCGGATGGTGCAGGTGCAGCGGATGTGCGGGTCGCAGAAGCGGGTGACGGTGCTGCATATGGGCGGGCCGCTGCGAAAGGCCCTGGCGCTGCAGGTGGGCTGGGGGCTGCGGATGATGCTGGGGCTGCGGACGGGCGGGGCGCAGACGAGGGAGACGGTGGTGCGCGTGGGCGAGTCGCTGCAGATGGCCCTGGCGCCGCGGATGGCACTGGCGCTGCGGCATGCGGAGGTGGGCGTCCTGCCCCGCTCTGCCTCTGTCGGGGGCCGCGTCGACGCGACTGTGATGCTCGAGCACGCTGCCGTGCGCCGGCCGCCTCGGCCGCAATATTGTTGGCGGTCGCGCGTGTCCGGCGTGTTTGGCGAACGTTGCGCCGGCGAATACGGAAGCCAGCTGGTGGTGTGGGGTTTGGCCCCGGCGCGTCGGCCACAGGTGCCGGACCGTAGAGGTAGGTCGTCAGCAGCGGATGGGATTCCCGTGCACCGGCCTTGATTTCGTTGTACTTCGGCAACGACCTTGCTGTCAAAAGCCGTCATAACATGTCCGCGGGACGTCTTCCCGAACCGCTTCACGTTCTGCTGCATGTGCCACCCACAGAAGTAGTGCGCCACCTTCTCTGGGAACACTTCCTTCACCGCCGGGATGAGGCCTTTGTCCCGGTCGCTGATGATGGCCGCGTCGTCCCGTCCCTTCCAGTCGGAACAGTGCTTATCAAAGAGCCGGCAAAACCAAGTCCATGTGTCCTTGGTTTCGCTCTCAACGAGCGCCCACGCGATGGGGATGATCTGCTGATTGCCGTCCATCGCATTGGCGTACAGCAGAGTAGCCTTCTGAGCACGTATCAGAAAAGTCCCGTCCAATGCGACGACAGGCCTGCACGTCTTCAGTGATTCGCGTGTTGCACTCGGCGCCATGAAGAAGCGGAGAAATTCGTGATTGTAAGTCAGTAGTTTTACCGTGGCTCCGCTGTCGATCAGCCGAATCCGCTCTTGCAGCGCCGGAATGTAGCGGAATGACTCGCACCAGTCGCCGAATCGCTGCTCCGTGATCCCTACCTTCAGCTTGCGTAGGTGGAATGTTTGGGTGGTATCAGGGCATGAGTAATGTGGAGGCAACAGAGTCACTAACAGAGACGCTGGAAACATGTTCGGCATATGAGGGGTGTACGCTCACTGGTAAGCGTTCTTGTATGTTAACTTCGGACTAGAGCAGGACTGAATCTGCCTGGCGTAGTCCCAAGGGGCGTTGAATGGCGTTGCACGGACAAAGTTGCCGAATTTCCGCCAAAGGTACTTCCTCTTACGCCCCATACCCGGCCACCACCGGGTCCGGTAGACACGGTCGCATGTGTGCTCTGCGGGATCGGAGAGCTGTACGATTCGCCACAGTCCGTTTCGCTGGAGGCGAGCATAGCTGCACCGCCATGGACAATTTGGTTTCAAACCAAGCTTCTGACTCTTGCACAACGCTAGCGCCGATGCCTTTCTGGTAGACTTTATGTAGAAACCGTATTTATGCACTGCCGCATCATCAAGCAAGGCAAAGAGGCAATGATACCGCGAGGAGTACCAGTTACCCTCCTGAATAGCAGCGTTGTCATTGATAGTAGGTCCCTCCTCTGGTTCAAACTCTATGTTGAACTGCTCTAGGATGATGTCATACATATCACGGCCATTAGTCGGAGGTTCCTCCATTGTGGATATGCTACAACACCTATGTTATCTTATCGCGATATGTAGGTGGTTAACCGCTTGCCCGGGTTTTTTAACGGCCCGGTATGAACGACACGGAGAACTGCATCTGGTATCACAGCTAGGAACAACAACAATTTACGTGTCAGTCCCAGGGGGCACAATCTTGGCGGTGGTTGTGACCAGTGCGTCTCGTCAGAAATCGCTGTGACAGATTTGTGTTATGATCGCTGGCGCGTTTATTAACGGAACAGAAATTGGAACCCTCCAAAAATATCCCTTAAGGTGTTCAAATATTGCGAAATGTCAGGAGCGCGTACCGCGCGGGGACAGAAGGTGGGGTGTCAGGGTTTTGGGTTATGGAAAAATTTGATCGCGATGAAAAAAAATCACGAATGCAAAGCGCGCGCCGCGGGTAATTCTCTCTGATGTTGCAGTCTCATCATGTGCGTCAACAATGCGCGGTGATTGACAGGAGCTTGTTGACACATGCTTAAAGCCCGTGGCCCAAATTGCGGACTGCGCGGGTCAAGTTTTTAAAACTTGACGAAGTGGACTGTGCAAGCTTTGAAAAGAAACGCAGCTGCAATTTGGGACTTTCGAAGTCTGACACACCCGCCAGGGTAAAACGCGGGGCTGGCTAGGTTGGGCGAAGAAAACGAATTTCACGAAATCGGAAACACTCGCCAAAACCCAAACCAGTGAAAACTCCCTCTCGTCATCTTTTAAAAACTTGTGCAATTTGGGCCAACGGCGGAACAAAACAGGAGGGAGGGGTTTCAAAATATTACTTACTAGCACTCAAATCTCGAGTTCGGCACAAGCGTTGCCTACCAGAACACAGGAAATTGCGTTTCCCACCAGTTACCACTGCAGATCGACACCACTTCGCAATTACCCCCAGACGAATAGTTACGCAAAGCGAAGTGCCAAATATGCAACCGTTGTGTCGTTCTCAGTTCGCCCAAGCAACGAATTTGAGTCGCCTCCCGCTTTCAATGCCAGTGCTCCTCTGCCGTCACCTGTCCACACACTCGAGGCGACACGACGCTCACGCGCTCATCGCAGAAGCACTAGTTATCGCACAGCGCGCCGCGTAGCAGCTAATACCAGTCATCCTGCTAGTCCTCCTCCCATCACGCTATGTTTCCCTTTTTCTACCCCTCGTTAAGAGAGAGATTCACACCTGCTCTCTCGCTTCCCATGTTTCCAAAGCCGTCGTATCCTCTCCAGTAAGATTCACAATCGCGCGTTTCAGATCGTTTGGCGTTTCCGGCGCCTGTTGCGGAGCTCAGAGCCAAGTGCATGCGCTAGTCTCTCAGCACTACGTTTTACTCTTGGAAACCCTAAAACAGGTAGGCTGGTCTCGTCATAGCATCATTCGCCTTGCACACCAGCAACTACCCTAAATCGTTACTTTTCTTCACTTCGCCGGTTTTTTGGAGTCCTCGAATGCTCCCGACCCTCTGTTTATCTCATTCTCGTAAACATGCCTCCCCACCATCGCCCAACACACTAATGGCTCTCCGCCCTGGCGCCTGACGCATTCCCACGCAGTACTGGCGGTGGCTCCTAAGGCGCTGCCGCTAAGCTCGCTGGCGCATAACACGCTGGCACCTATTGTGCCTAACGCGCTTGCGCCTATAACGCGCTGGCGCCTAAGGCGCTGACGCCCAGCGAGCTGGCGCTTAGTGCGCTGGCGCCTAACAGCGCTTGCGCCATGAGCGTTGGCGCCTAGAGCGCTGGCGCTTTAAGCGGCAGCACCTTAGGCATTGGCGAGTCTTCCTTAGTCCTCTTGTGCACGCCTTAGTCATTGGTGCTAAGCGCGTTTGCCCTAGGGCGCTCACGCCTTAGGTGCTGGTGCCTTGGGCACATTTGTGCTTTTGGGCGTTGACCCTACAACGTATGCACCTAGTGCGCTGGCGGCAGTAGCGCCATGGGCGTTGATGCCTTGGGCGATTGAGCCGTGCCTTGGCGCGCCTGGGCCTAGAACGCTGAGTGTGGTTTTTCGTGTCAATACCTGCATCACATTAACGTCTCTGAAACATTCTAACTCATTCGTACAAGTGCATTCGCTCATATTGATGACATCTCCGTTCGTACCATCCGCTGTATAAATGGAAGCGCACATCCACCCAGCCGTGAAAAACTCCCGTTTTCGGGTTGGCCCAGATAACGATAGTAACCAACCCCAGCCAACTCTACCCTACCCTACTCAATCCAAGAAAAGGCGGAGGAGTTTTGGTTTGCTCGCACTCTCTCTCCTGCACCCTCTTGCTCCACTACCTCCCTCCCCCTCTTCCATCTCCCTCCCCGCATTTAACGATCCACCTTTTTTTTTTTCAAAATTGTGTCTTGCTCACCAACCAACGATGCCCTCTGCTTCCTTGCCCTGTTGTTACTTCTCCCGTTCGACAGATCATTCAACCAATAGGGGCATGTGCGGTGTTCGTAGGTTTCGAGCGTTGACTCACTATTTTTAGATTCTCTGGAACGCAAAGCATTGATTCGCTTCAAAACTCCAAGCATTTCACTGAACCGCATACAAGGGAGACATTTTGACGCAGCGGGAACGCGGGATCGGCATGATGCCATGCCAGAGCCACTGACAATCTTACCTTTTGCATCGGCTCGACGCGACTTGACTCGCTTGACCCCCTTGACCTGTGCTGACCGGTTGACCTGCTTGCTACCAACCACGTGCTGCTAGGCGCATCATGCTGCTCCTCGCGATCCCCGCTTGCCCCTCCTTTCAAACTGTTCTTCCCTTGCTGCTCGCTCTGTTAGTCGTGTATCCCGTATCCCTTTGCGGAGCGGAGAGAGCGAACCGGTTCAAGTCAGTCACGCGCCTCGTCTTCCTACCTGATAACGAGTACAGCTCGAAATGCCTCGACGGAAGGTGCGTACCTTTTTTTTTTGTTATTTTTGTTTTTTAATGATGATTGGACCTTCTACTAGGTCTTTCTCCTTCGACCCGCCATTCCTCCTCTCCCATACGTCCAATCGATTCCCTCACAATTCCTTTCCTCCACCCCTCCATCCCCCTCCCTTCCCCCACTCCCTCTCCTCTCCTAACTCACCCACCCACCCACCCACTGCCCCCCGAAGTACCCCCGCGTACTACTTTCCGCGCGGGGGCGGGCGCGGGAGGCGCAAGTGGCACGTGCATCTGCCCCAGGGCGGCTGGTGCTTCTCGCCGCTCGAGTGCCGCGAGCGCGCCAACTCCCCCCTTGGCTCCTCGCACTTCTGGGCCACGCGCCTGCCTGCCGTTGTTGAAAACGGCGGAAAGATCAACAATGTGAGTCACAAATGAGATGCTCTCTTTCTCTCTCAAGCGGTCCGTGTATTAGATCCGAGCAAGGTACAGACATGCACAAGGATATAAGAAGCAATGCACCTCAGCTTCTGAAACCCCCATATCCTACCTACCCTCATTCACCCTCTAAGGCAGCTCCAGTGCAGGCTCCAGGATGGCAAGGCAGTCCCCGAGGGACATGCCTTCGCCCCGGCAGCAGGGGTATTGATCTCTCTCTCTCTCAAACGGTCCTTTGTATTGATTCAGCAGGGGTACAAACATGCAGTGCTATCCATGATAACCTCCATCCCTTAAGCCCCTTAACTCACCCCTCTTCCCCCCCCCCCCCGAGTGACCCTCTAGCCCTCCAGCGTGTGGAGGATGTCCCCCAGGTGCAGCGGCCAGGGGTCCGCTGCCATCTGGGGGTGCGCTGCCCTCTCTCTCTCTCACTCTCTCGATCAGTCCTTGTATTCATTATAGGATAGTACAAGGTAGGTAGGTCTCGTTGGTCTTGGAGCGGACAGCATTGGCCTGCAGCTGCGTGCACTGGAGAGTGGCGCTGGAGAGTGGCGCTGGAGAGTGGCGCTGGAGAGTGGCGCTGGAGAGTGACGCTGGAGAGTGACGCTCCAGCACTGGCTGGCGGTACTCGGTGAGTAACTTAGTTACCACTGTCACACAAAATCTCCAGATTCCAGCTTCCAACCAGAACGGTTTCAACGAACAGCGAGTCATAACCTGGTACCCGAGCTCCATGTGTGGACCTGGTGTGGCTCGTGTGCTGTGCTGTGACCGGACGGAGGCGCCTGAGAAAGGCATTCCACCGCAGTGCAACCCACCCAACTCCACCCGACCCCTCCCCACCGTGCCCTGTCCTCAGGCATCCGAGTCGTATCCACAGCTGGGCGGGCTCCTATCACAGGACAGCGCAACCAACCCCTTGTTCCACGGGTGGAACCTGGTGTGGGTGGTGTACTGTGACAGGTGGCGCCTACAGCAGCACGCGGGGGAGGGCGGACCTGGGGGAGGGCGCATCGGTGTACATGCAGGGGCGGCAGATTCTAGATGATATTATAACTGGTGGGCAGCAGATTGTAGATCATATAACCACTGGTGGGTGGGGAGGGGAAGGGGGAAGGGATAAAGAAGGCGTTGGGGGCCATGGGGAAGAGTGCAAAGGAGGAGTAAGTGGGGTGTGGTTTTATCTGTCTACATGCAGGGAATAGGAGGTGGAGAGGGGGGATATAGTTGAACAGGAGGGGGAGGGTGGAAGGAGGAGGAGATGGGGTGTGGTTGATCTGTCCCCCTCTTGCCGTTCACCACCCTTCCCCTCCCCTCTCACCATTCATCTCGCAGATCTGTGCACGCAGAGGGGCATGGGGGCGGCGTCGTCGCATGTCCTATTCTCGGGGCAGCTCAGCGGGCGGCCATGCCATCATCATGCACTGCGACCGCCTCGCTGCTGCCTTCCCCCACGCCAAAGCCACCTGCCTTGCCGACTCGGGCTTCTTCGTTGGTGAGGCGCTGTGAGCTTGAGGGTGAGAGCAGGGTTCTTTGTTGCTCACCTAACCTGTCTTTCTTGGTGAGCTTCGTGCACCGTTAACCACTGTGTTTTGTTGGTAATTTTTCTCCACTTTTCAACTTTGCCTTCTTTTTTGGTGAGCAGTGTCTGGAAACCAGTAGGCGCAATGCCCCCTTCTGAGTAATGTCAGTTGTAGCCTTGTTCACCAAAAGGCTTCCTTCCCTGCTCTTCCTCCCTCCCCCCCCCCCTCTCCCCCACCTCCCCCTTGCCCCTCCCTTTTTCCTCCCCCTTCCCATGCAGACGCCAAGGACCGCTTTGGGGTGTACTCGTGGCGGGAATCCATTCGCCAGCTCACCGCTCTGCACCTCATTGAAGTTCCCAAATGCCCTGCAGGTAAAAACAGCATGAAGATACCACCTATCAGGTGAAAACATGTGAAAACAACCATAGACAATTGTCCTTTCAAGGGTGATGGGTGGGTGGGTGGTGGTTGATCTGCGCACTCTTTGGACCCGCCTCTGGTTCTTCCATAGGAGGGCCACATCTCAGTAAGAATTCCTCCTCTCCCTCTTCTGAAGCTACTCGAGAGGCTCTCCTTTTCTCTCCTCCTTTCCCTCCCAATCAGGTGCACAAGCGAGGGACTACTGGGTCTGCTTCTTCCCAGTCACTGCGTCATCATGTTGCTCTCCTACCCCCCCCTCCCCCCACCCCCTCCACACACACCCCTTCCTTCCTGCTTCCGTCCGCCTCAGGATCACAAGAGAGTGACAACTGGGTCTGCTTCTTCCCTGAACACACCCTTACACGGGTCTCCACGCCCCTCTTCCTCTTCCATTCTTTCTTTGACTGGCGGTTCATCCAGTATGGGCAGCAGCTTCCTATCGAAAATCCACAGTACTCGGCCAAGTGCCTCAACAGGCAGATATTACAAAGAAGAGCAAGTGTACTGGCACGGAAACGCACGTGGGATAATGTGAGGTGGAGGCACCACTACTGCTCGCGGCAAGAGCTGGATGCGGTTTTCTCCGTGGGTTATGCTGTGTATTGTCGCCTGGCGGAAGCAGCGCGTGGTGACAGGAAAATGGGTGTGTTTTTGGCACCGGGAATCGTTGCACACAACGATGTTTAGTGTTAATTGGTCCTTAACAAGAGTGAGGAGGGTAAAGCTGAGCAGTCTGTTTGCAAAATGGTACAGTCATAGGGGTGAAAGGAGGGGATTGTTTGTGTTTGCATGACATTCAGGGTTGAATAAAATCCGCATGCACGTGCATGATTTTAATCTTGATAATGCATCATAACGGGAAAAAAAAAGTTGTCTTACATGAGAAGGATTCAATTATGCCAAAGTAAGGTTCAGGGTACGGTAATTGTAGCGTGTGTCATCTGTTAGGCTAGGTTGACCTCCTTGACTCCCTCTACCCTGGACTGGTCGGAGCTGATTCAGGTGCACGTGACAAGAGGGGGAAAGGATGGATATGGGGAGGGAATGGGAGGGGAAGTGGAGGGAATGGGGGAGGGAACAAGAGGGGAAGGGGGTAGGTAAGAGGAGGGATAGAGAACGTAAAGATGAGAGGAAGGTGGTTGTTGCCTGATGTGTGGAATGAAAGAATGGTACCTTCCATTTCGACCATGAAGTGGTGCCATATGGCACCACACATGCCATGCACATGATGATGCACACACCATGCACATGATGATGCACACACCATGCACATGATGTTGCACACACCATGCACATGCCATGCACATGCATGCATCGCCGCCACCCATCCGCCCACCCACCCCACTCACACTCATGGGGGTGTGCGTTGTGCCTCGTACTCTTGAGGAACATGCTCCTGGCGTCGCTTGCCGCCTCTGCTGCCTCCTTGCCTCGCCTCACCTGCTCTCTTCCTGCCTCGATGTCTCCATTAGGCCGTGCCACATGCCCACGACAACACTGTTAGGGCCAATGCGTATGAGCTGTTTCAAACGGGGAGAAATTGGGAAGGACGCGGAGTAGCGGAAGAGGGGAGAAACCGGTGGGGGTGGGGGAGGGGAGGATTTGAAAGCAGGGCAGCAAGGGAGGCGTGCATGAGCACGCCGATGCACCGATGCACATTAGCTGAGTGTGAGCGAGAAGATGGGTCACGGGAGGGATGAGGGGAGGGGAACAGGTAAAACGCCAAGGACATCAATGGGGGCAGGCATGGGAAAGAGCGGGAAACAGAGAAAGGACGGGAGAGAGGAAAAGGAGGAGGACAACACAAGGCAACAGAGGTAATTCACTGGGGGCGAGCACAAGAGAGGCCCCGAGAGCCATATCGTGCTGGAGGGCCTCTATGGAGGGTACCGGAGGAGCAGGAGAGTAGCCAGGGGTGACCGGGGGTGCAGTGCAGTGCAGGAGCTGGCGGCTCATGCTGCATACCAAGCACCAACATTGGGTCCAGGTGTCAGGGAGATGGTCAAAGGGGGTGGTTGCAGGAGGGATAAAGCAAGGGAAGATGAGGGAGAGGCAGCTCAGAGCGAGTAGGACGGCCAGGTTGAGGGGTGAAGGGAGAGGGGGGGAGGAGAGGTGGGGATGGAAGAGTGTGACAAGTGTGTGTGGGGCTGTGGGGGATGCAGATAAAACACTCTTCAATCACTCATAGATGCACTTGAAATGAACACCACAAAATCCCGCATCTCTTAGAGGCTGGAAAATAAGAATCACCTAGAATCTCCCAAAGATGCTTCTGACCAGTGCATATTCCATCAGGGCCACTTGCAGCCTGGCCACTGCGATGTTGCTCGCCCACCGCACTACACCATCGGCAGCATCATCGTGGTGACTTAATACATGCTGCTATTCTGCCAGCTTCCACCTCCGCAGTCCATCATTGTGTAAACTACCTAACACCCGCTCCAACTGCAACTGCACCCGTGTGGCTCTCCCAACCCTCTCCCTGCCCCCGCATACTCAGGGCAAGGACACGGGCGCGAACACGAACGTGTTTGCCACGAACACATTCGTGTTCGCCTGCGTCAGCAAGGTGATCGCCTTCACATGCGAACAGCAAACACCGTTTTTGGCTAAGGGCGTGTAACTTTTTCCGTTTTGGTCAAATGTCGGACGGAGCCCCCAAATCGTCCGAACGGAGCCCCGTCCGGACGTTTGGGACTCAGGTCCGGACGACAGCCCGTCCGGACCACAATGTGAAACTTTTTGCACTATCGATTTTTTTAGTTCGCCACGAAATGTAACAGGCCTTACTGCAATCGTAAACGTGTCGTGAGGGCTCGCCAAAAAAAATCAGCGGCGTGGTATTGGGTGAGATTTTTAACAAATCGTGCGCCAATGACAGCGCAGAAAAATTCGGTACGTGTACGATATGCCGTTCGGACGGTGTCAGCAGGGTAGTCCGGACCAATTTTTTACAGAAAGTGTCAGACATGGTCCGGACGATGGCGACGTCGCAGAGTGTCTGGCGAATCTCTTACCGAGGTGCTGCGAAAATTAGTTTACCCTACAAATGTCCGGACGGGGCCTTCGGTCCGGGACGATGAAAAATGAAAAAGTTACACGCCCTAAAGCTGTTCGGCGAACCGAACAGTGTTCGGTTCTCCGAACGACGGTGTTTCGTGCAGGGGCGAACGCGAACACGTTCGTGTTCGGCCTCTTGCTCAAGCCTACTTCCTAAGATTTTCCTGCAATACTCAGGTTTGTCAGCTTATTAGGCGGTTCGTGATGGTTTAGCCATTTCCTCTAGGTTGTTTTTTTTTTTTTTTAACCATTGAATTCGCACAAGTCATCGCTCAGCCAGCCTCACATTCTCACTCTCATCTTCCCCGCACTTCCTTGCTCTCCCCATCAGCCTCAACCCGGTGCTGTCCTGCGACACTGACCTCAAGATCGGACTCTACCTCTGCGTTGCACCCAAGACCCCTCCGGTAAACACCCATTTCACTTTGATTTTACGTGTAACTTGCAAAATCAAAGTGAAATGGGTGTTTACCGGAGGGTCTTGGGTGCAACGCAGAGGTAGAGTCCGATCTTGAGGTCAGTATCGCAGGACAGCGCCGGGTTGAGGCTGATGGTGAACGCAAGGATGTGCGGGAAGATGAGAGTGAGAATGTGAGGCTGGCCGAGGCGACGACTTGTGGGGATTCAATGGCTGAAAAAAAAAAAAAAAAAAACCTAGAGGAAGTGCTTAACCATCACGAGCTGCCAAATAATAAGCTGACAAACCTCAGGAAGCACACACATTTACAAGCTTTGGGAAACAACAAAAACAAAGAACGTGTATAGTCGTGGACCCACAAAAGCGTACCTCATGAAAGTGCTGAGCGCGATGTTGTATTTGGTGGCGATCGCGTCGCACGTGTCGCCAACCACTTACGTGTACGTTTGACCGCACTGCGGCACGGTGATCTGAAAGGTTGTTCCGGATTGGGGGAGGGAAGGGTTGGAGATTCAAACGTTAAAACAGATTCGTGCTTGGAGATTCGCAGAATGCTAGCCATGTACACTTGGTTGCACTCAGGCACAGCCGTACAGTTCAGAGTAGAGGGGAAGCGGAGGCTTTCGTAGGGTTGCAAATGGCGTGGTAGTATATTACGTGGTCATCTCAAAGCAACCAATCAGCACTAAGAAGGAAAGCCACGAGCAGCCCTGGCAGCAGCATGGCCACTACAGTCATCCGAGCCATGGCTGATGGTACGGCAGGAATAGTGGAAGGAGTGGGGCAGGAGGAGCAGTGGAAGGAGTGGGGGCAGCAGGAACAATGGAAGAGGGGGGGAGCAGGAGCAGTGGAAGGAGCGGGGCAGCAGGAACAGAGGATGGAAGGCGTGGGTAGGAGGGAACATGCAGTGCAGGAGGAAAAAAAAACAGCGGGGTCTTAAATGCGATTAGGCTTTGGACAGTGTCAGACTGAGGATGCGGGCATGAGATTCGAGCATACGGGGACGAGACTGCAGGCGAAAGGCGAAGCATCATATAAAGCAACGAGGCGTTAGCGAAACGTAGAGGCACGAGTGAGTGGCAGGCGAAGAGTGAAGGAGAGGTTGGCAAAGTGGGCAGCAGGGCTGGCAAAGAGACAAGGCGGCAAGAAGAGATGATGCGGTCAGGCTGAGGTGCTGATAGGCAGAGTGAGCTATGTGACGGAAGACGCGTCCTAGCGTCTTAGACGGTTGCGTCTAGACGCCTAGCGTCTAAGACGCTAGACGCATTTCCGGCTAGGTTAGACGCATATTAGACGAAAACCCGGGCAGGCCTAAAACAAATGTTCGGGCAGCTTAAAAAACTTATGAGGGCCATGGGGAGGGTGGGGGACATGCACATATGGCACATTTGGGTCAAATTTTCGCCGTACCAAAACTTTTCCCCATATTTAGAGTTCACAAAATCCTCATTTCTCATCATACATAGTTAGGGAACCACGTCTCTCTAGCAGTAGCAAACACGAAGTAAATAGCTACTACTACATCCCTGCAATCACTAGGCCTCCTCCTACCTCTCCTCCTCCTCCTCCTCTCCTCCTCCTCCTCCCTCCTCCTCCTCCTCCTCCTACCTCCTCCTCCTCCTCTTCCTCCTCCTCCTCCTCCTGCCCCTCCCACTCCATCGGTGGGAGGGTGTGCACATGTCGCGAAATCGAATGTTGCATCGAAATCGCGAAATTCAAATTCAGCCGCGCGATAATTTTTTTTCGGGCTGACCGGAATTTTTTTACCCAAGCGTCTAGTCCGTCTAAACATGCGTCTAGCGTCTAGCATCTAGACGCTGCATCTAGATGCTGCATCTAGACGCTAGATGCTAGACGCAAGGACACGGTCTTGCGTCTTCCGTCACATAGAGAGTGAGTCAACATGGGAAGGCTAGGATAAGTTTGAGGATGGGAATTGAGGAGGACATTGGAAGAGGATGGATGGAAGGAGATATGCAGAACACCAGGAAGGATGCTTAAGAGAGAGTTGGATGACCCAGAAGATGTTGCCTACCTCACGAGAGGAGTGCAGAGCGGAGGGCTGGATGGAGTTGAGTGGCGTTGGAGTGGAGTAAAATGAAGAGTTTTGACGTGATTGGGAAGAAGAAGGAGCGCAATGTGGGGTAAAAGGTCCAGCATGTTGGAGAGAGAGATGCATGAGACGTTCAGAGTGCGCAAACGCAGCGATGTCGTCTCCATAGGCCAGGAGGGGCTCTTGTATTGTATCATGTAGAATCAAACTCGCCCCTTGGTATACGGACGATGTGAATGCATGGCGCAGAGTGAAACTATCAATCAGACCCTAAGCTTGGAAATGTACGACTGTGTATGGAAAGTGCCTTATGCAGACCAAGGGTGGAGGACAACACAATGAGAAAAGAGCATTTAGGTGTGGTAGGAGCAGGGAGGGAAGGGAGAGAAAAGGATCAGTGGAAGGAGGGGGCAGTGACAGGGGAAGGAGGGTATACGCGAAAGCAGCAAGGGAAACAGGGAGGCAAGCAGTAGCAACAGGAGGGGGGGGGGGAGGAGAGAGGATAAGCGCCCAGCCACCTGGCGCTGCCTGGCAGCCGCCCTGCTCATTTCCCTGCTGCCCCTCCGGCTG